TCAAGAGAGCGTTGTCATCTTTCTTGAAGAACAAGACCACCGCACTTCCGCTCCACGCCTCCGGTGTAATGCCACCATGTAGGACGGAATTAAAGAGCTTCTGAAGGACTTCAAGTACCGGTTTTCCACCCGCTTTCAGAAGCTCCGCTGTAATTCCATCCTCGCCTAGGGCCTTGCCGTTTTTAAGGTGCTGGAGAGCCATTCTAATCTCGCTCAGACTGACGTCCGGGATATCATCGGTATAATGATATCTTCGGAATAGTGTCGGATAAGACTCGCTCTTGGATCGTTACTCACACTTGCGTGTGGCTCCAATGATGACGTGTACAGCTGCCCATAGAACGTCTCAATCTCACTCAAAATCTCAGGTGCCCCGGAAACGATGCTGCCACATTCTGTCTTCAGCTTTGACAGTTGGCTCTTTCTGGCAGACAGATCTCTGACAAAGACTTTGGAGCCTTGGTTCCGCTCGATCGCTTCTTCAATACGAGCTGTATTGAAGTTGCGTAAGTCCCGCCGCATGCATTTGGAGATCTGTCTGTTCAGTTGCCTGTATGCTGTCAAATCTGTTGAAGAATGTAGCTTCATCTCTCGTCTAACAACCATGAGATTAAGAGTGTGATCGGAGAGTTTTTGTGTTCTTCTGCGGCGGATCTTGCAGAACTTAGCTCTGACCGCATGGACAGTTTCCACGAGCTTGTCATTCATATCGTCCACTTCATTGCAGTCTTCTAGGCACTGAAAACGGTTTTGTAACTCGAGCTGAAAGGTTTCGGTACTTCGGATTAGAGCACGAGGGGGACGGAGCGTTGACTTCATTAGACGAGACCTCTCCAACTTAACGTTTAGGTTCAGTGTGCCTCTAACCATTCGGTGATCGCTGCCGGTTTTCACCCTCGCGATCACTGAGACATCACTGAACAGTTGTCGTCTGGTCGTCATAATGAAGTCAATCTCATTTTTTATCGAACCGTCGGGGCTCGACCAGGTCCACTTCCTGTGGGGCCGCTTCTGGAAGAAAGAGTTCATCATAAAGAGTCCCTCTTTCTCCATGAAGTCGGCCAGCTGCTGGCCCCTTGGGTTCCGTTGCCCTATTCCAAATTTTCCTACTTTCAGCTCACCATTCTCTCTTGTGCCTAGTTTTGCATTGAAGTCTCCCATTAACACCATATATTGGGTTTTGGAGGAAGGCATGGCTCTAGAGATATCCTCATACATTTCCTCCACCTCATCGGGGTGTGCCGAGGTTGGTGTGTAAACCTGTATGAGCTTCAGCGAATACCGTTTGGTTATTCTGAGTATAAGGTACGCAACCCTCGTCGACACACTCAATCTTTACAACGTTGTTAACGAGAGACTTGTGGACGATAAATCCGACACCTCCTTGGGACAGATGGTCGCCCTCCCGGTGATGGATTAAGTTACCGAATTCGAGGATTACCGTGTCTTCCCCCTTTTCTTTGGACTTCGGATATTCCTATAATATGCCAGCGTAACTTGTCTATCTCTTCTTCCAGCTCCACAATCTTCTCGTCAGTCCTCAGGGTGCGTGCGTTTTATGTTGCCAGGTCGAGTCGCCGTAGGTGGCAACCGAATCTCCACCGGAGATTCTTAGCACCCCCTGCCCCGCCGTTACCATGGTCGCCACCGTAGCCAGGAATAGCGGGGCCGCCGGGGACTGGGGGCCGTTTATTATTGTTATTGCTCATGGGGGGTATATTGCCATAGTTGCCACGCTTGGCGAGCGGGTTGGCAACAGCAGTTTTTTTATTGTATTTTTGCTGTTATCAGGAAGATGGTGCTGCCCATCTCCTGCCTGTTTCCCTTTGTCGCCTTTTACGACACCCACGGGAAGATATGGGGTAGTGGATATTCTTAACCGTCACTACACGAGCTTAAGAATATTAAGGTAGTGGATATTCTGAACCGCCACTACGCGAGATTAAGAATATATTTTATTCAAATTAAAAGAAACAATATAGATAAAAAATAATCTAATGAGATGGATGAATTTCTTGATTTTTAACGAGTTTGTTGATATCAGGTTCGATTTTACTTCAAAATAGTCGTAAGTCGCCGCGTTCGATAACATGTAAACGATTTATTTTTTTAGTAAGCAGCATTGCCACAGCGTTAAATCCACGTTCACACAAATATGACGATGCTACCAAAAATCGTTGAACAATCGATTACAATCCAGGGTGCAACTGTGGAATTGATTTTTGTAGACAAAATTCTTGGTAGCCATTTTTGAATTTGATTTGTATTTCCTCGTTCTTTGTCAGTTCTATAAGTTCTTCTTCCAGTTGGGGTGATAGTGCTATGATGACATTTGAAAAAGGACCTAACACCCAGTCTGCTATTTCCAATTTCACAATGTCCTGGAATCTTTCAATGAAATCACTGTGGAGATTTTCCAAATGTTGGCTGTAGACAAGCAAGTCGTCGTTGTTGCAGGATACTGATAAATTGGGAAAATTATGAAACTCATGTCTGCTGATATTCTTCTTGTGTTTAGTTTATTAAGTTTAAGTCATCGCCTTGAATTTTGAGATTCATATCATTAAGCTATTTATAAAGGTCTGTCAGGTATGCGATATCATTCTTTGATGTGATGGATGAGGTTGTCGCGCAATTCTATGTCTTTGTTTTCCAAGAAATCTACGACAGAGTCAAACAGATCGTAAAATCGAGTCAGACAATTTCCTTTTGAAAGCCAACGCACTTCTGTGTGCAAGATCAATCGGTTGAAATCTTCATCATTAGTAAAACAACGCTGATTAAATTGTCTGTCATTTAAAGAGTTGTTTCGGATTTTATTGACTGCTCTGATGACTTGAAACATTGATTGAAACAGTCGTTTACTTAAATTTCTAGCAACCAAATGTTGTCGATGTACAGCAAGCACATCTTGATTTCAGTTTTTTAAGTACGCTCTGAAGCCTTTTTGACACCCCGTCATAACTGGAGCACCATCTGTAACAGCTGATATAATATTCTTCAAGGGAATTCCTTTTTCATCACAAAACTTTTCCAGTGTTTTAAATATGATTTCTCCTTTGGTATCTGTTTTTAAATATTAGCAAATAATAGTTCTTGACATATTTTGTCATCTTTAATAAACGTCACGTAAGACAGTAACAATGCTTCATTAGTTGGTAAAGTGGACTCATCCAACTGAATTGAAAATTTACTAGTCTTCAGATGATTGCACAATGACTCTTCAATGTTTTCAGCCATTTCATCAATTCGTATGTGCACATAACTATTGCTCAAAAGATTTTTTCGAATTATGTCTGCCGCCGGTTTATGGAACACAGTTGTTATAACTTTTTTTTATTGGCGGCAAAATTAACGTTTCTCCGATGGTGTGTGGTTTATCTGTTTGAGCAATTAACAAAGAGATATTGTATGAAGCTCGAAGTCCGTCATCGTCTTGCTTAGCAGCAACGGAAAAAAGTTTTGATACACTTGGCTGTGCATTATGCTTTTTTTCCAGGTCTTGAAAATAGGCTAAATTTGTGTCCTTATCTGGATGCATTTTATTCAAATGATCTTGAAGGCTTCAACGCTTCGTTTGAAAATTTTTTTGAACAATAAAGGCACAAAGGCAAAGATGGATTTGTCGAATTCTCTATGAATCCATATTTAATATATTGCTGTCTCTTCTTTTTTGCTTCCGACGTGGCTTTGGTTTTTACAAATACGTAAATAAAGTGTTGAACTTAAAGACAGGAATAAGACAAACACGCACAAACTCGTTTAATCGATCGACGATACGCTCAATTGTACTGAGCAAGTTAAGACAAGTATCGATGAACTAGCCGATTGCTACCGGATTGCACCAATAGCGTTATTTAACAAAAACTTATTACAACTTGATTGCGTACGGCGTACTGGCTATCCTACGAAATCTATAATTTATATACCATCATACAGGGTAGAAATATAAACTTGTGGCGGGTAGATGGAAAAGCGGAGATCTCCCGCCGGGCAAGGTGTTCTGCCCGGGGAGCGGCCAACGCTCCGAGTTGTAGTTCAGAGCTATTCTATATATACTGCTTTAACTTCGGAACTTTGTTAGCGCGATTTAGGCTTCGAATTGTTTCTCTTGTGGCGCGACGACAGCGCCGCCACAAACGAATTATTCGATATTGAGTAGTAGGTAGATTTTAATTTTAGTAAATTTTAAAATATAAATTATCTAAATGAAATTACAAATCTATCATCCACTAAATACCTAAACCACGCCAACGCCCCCCATTGTTTTCTGGGCCCCTTGACGCCCCCGTCTAGGTCTACAACGCCCACAAGCGGGCGTTATGGACCACTGAGAATGAGTGGCATAAGGCATGCAATAGAAATAAGGATGACAATCAAGTACACCGTCCATTCCATGATAAGCTGTTATATCTGTTCTCAATTAAAAATCGAAATGCAGATGTTCTATCACCCTCTTCACTTACCATACAAAACAAAGCAGCATTAAGCTGTAATTTCACACTGTACTTTTATGTGTGGAATGCATATTCTCCGGTCAAGTACACCCATTCATGCTGCTGACTTCATGAGCTAGATTCCTAGTCATAGTTCTTTTTATTTCATTAATAATTTCTTGCCTAAACATCCGTGACTGTTTAGAAATATAAAGTATTAGCAACCGCCCCAGCTTCGCACTAGTGCAATATATATGTGGTGTCATTTATGTTTCAAATAGCACTCTTCGATCAATTTATGTTTTGCCGTTTTGGTATTGATAATTTATTGTTAAGAAAAGTGCGTTTAGCAAGAAAATATTTCTTTAAAAATATACTTTTTCATTACGTGTGGCTTGTTGCGTCGCTTGATATATTACTTTAGCGAATTTTAGTGTGTACTTTAGTGAATTTAAGCTAAGACTAGATAAATAGCATCTCCAGGCTTAGTTAAAATCAATCAAGCGGCCAGTACGGTTTGCACTGCTATTTAAGAATAACTCAATAATTTTTTTCTGATTTCAGGTAAAGTATTCATGGCATAAATTACTAGGAGTAAGATCTGAAGGAAAATGCTGCCACCCTCAATTACTAATGAGTCTGTCCATTGAAGACAGAGTAAATACTCCAACTCCGGTATGAACATTCTTATCATAATTTATAGATTTTTCTATCTATACAAATAAATAAAAATGAAGTGTCTGTTTGTAATGTCAAAATAACAGCTTTTTACTAAATGCATAAAGTATAATATACGCTATTAATAACAACAAAGAATTTTAAAATTTTTGTCTGTCTGTCTGTCTGTCCGGCTAATCTCCGAAATGGCTAAACCGATTTTGACGGGACTTTCACTCGCTGATGCTATGAGATGTTATGAGGAGTGACTTAGGATATTCTTATTTAGAAATAGAATTAGGATTCCGGGCTAAAATAATTAAAACCCATGAAATCGTAATAAAATCCACGCGGGTGAAGTCGCGGGGGACAGCTAGTTATTAATAAAGTTGTTCTAAATTTTCCACTCCCTTCTGACCACCTTCGATCGACCATCATATGTTATGAGATAAGAGATTATAGGGCTCTAGACACTCTAGACCAGGGGTGGCGAACCTTTATGTATTAACGTGCCATTTTTTTTCTAAAGAAATGTTTAATGACGCCATAAACGTGCCGTAAAATATTTTTTTACTTCGTGATTACAGGCGCGCCCAAACATACCGTAGCGTAGGATCACTCGTGTTCGTTGGTGACGTGCGCAAAATATTGTGTCGCGTGCCATTGATGGCACGCGTGCCATTGATTTGCCATCCCTGTTCTAGACTGAAAAAGTCCAATCCCTCGCTTTGCATTTAAAATAATGAAGCTATCTTTTAGATGCGTGTATTTAACAATATAATGTCCTCCAGACCGAATCAGGGTCACGGCGACCAGTCTCAACAGAGATTAGCCATCTGCAGGGGCTAATAGACAGGACATTATTATAGTGCCCAAGTGTATGCGAAAGCACAGTTGCACTCTATTCCCTCACTCTCATAGTCCGATGGGACGGTAATCCGACACGACTGGAGAGAGATCAGGGCAGGGGGTGAAACATCGCCAACTAGAACATTACTAACTAGTATCTCATATTTACGCATTTACTTTTTAAATAAAACAACTGGTACAATTAAAAATTTTGTACAACCAACTTCAATATAAATAAAATGATAAGATCATCGATGTAGTTGAAAATCTGCATTATTAAGTATAACTCAAATAACTACTGGCCAGATCTTGATCAAATTTATATGGGACTACATTAGAAGCCCGGTGCTTCTAATGTAGTTTAGTTTTAGTTTACAAATAAAAAAATAATAATCAAAATCGATTCACCTAGAAAAAAGTTATGAAAAACATAAAAAATACAGTCTAATTGAGTACCTCCTCCTTTTTTTGAAGGTTAAAAATATGTCATAAAATAAAAGTTTAAAGTTTATGAGGCTAAATGTTTGTTTTTATCTATTTTTTTTTAGTAAAAGGCTAATGTGGTTAAGTATCATATAAACAATATTTAATTTTTCACAGTTATTGTGTTCGTATATACAATATGTAACAAAAACCCTATGGTTCCCGTTAAGTGCGTTATCAGGATCATTATTCAAACGTATAGAAATAACTTTAAAAAAAAACTCGAACAATATATTTTTTTAATTTATTTAAAACAAATTATTGTATGCAAATTGTATGTGGTTTTATTACCTCTGCATTGTCTGGGGTGTAAGAGGATTGTCAAAGACGCCGCTTTGCTTAGTTTTAGCATCGGCTAGTATCAGTAAGAGGTAATAAAACAACATAAAACTAATTTTTTTTTTAATAAAATAAAAAAATATGGTCGAGTTTTTTAAAAAAAGTTATTTCTATAGGTTTGAATACTCACCTTGATAACGTACTTAACGGGAACCACAGGGTTTTTGTTACATGTTTTATATGCATAAATTTTATGCTAACTAGTTTTAATTAGGACACATTTTATTTATTCTCTTTTCATAGTTACCTACCCTCCTTTCTTTTGAAACTGGCGATTATTACCTATGTCAATATACGCCACAGCATTGCAAATAAATAAATAAAGAGAATAAGAGAACCATATTTCATTATTTGTTTTTTGTGATTTCAGCGCAACGAACTTCGCATGTTCCACAGCAATGAAGTAGCATATCCACCGACGTATCGTACCAACGACACGCAATTTACAAGACCGATGTTGTTGACACTTCGTGAGTATCAATTAAACATAATCATAATATCTAATCAAGTATTTAGCACAAGGTCAATCAAGTAAGTTTTTTTTAATGAAAATTTAGCAATGCTATTAATATCACTAATATTCTCTTTAACCACTCTTGGTAAGCTTAGAATGCTTGAGTTAGAAGTGGTTAGCGACAGTAGTAGAATGGCGGTTTCGAACCCACGACGTTTTGAGGTCGCGGTCCACGCTCTGACAATACTGTCGCTAAATATGCTTTTTATCAATGCATAAAAATATTATTATGCTCTATTATCAATGTTGTGTACATCTATAATATGTATGCATTAGGAAGCAGTAGCCGTGGTAACTCAGGGGCTTAGCGCTCGCTGTAAATTTTATAGTATGCTGGCAACCCGGATTTGAGCCCCGCGGGCACCAATGAAATTATAAAAATTAAATATATTTCGAGGACATGTGAAGTTCGCTAACACGCAGTGGAGTAGCGCGACGGACACTTCCTTGCCCTAAATTCTCTCAGAAATGAGAGGAGGCCTGTGCCCAGCAGTGGGACGTATATTTAATGTACTTTAACTGGGGCAGTTTAACTTTTATTAGGAAAGTTGACAAAATATTGACAAAAAAAAGTTGACAAAAAATTACTTTGCGTACAGCCGCTCGACAAAATAAAATGATGTGTCTTACCTAGTTTGAAGAGCATCTCCCGCCCTCCCTCAATCGCGTGCACTATCCCCGTCACCACTAATCCCAGCACCACTACTCCCAACACCACTACACTAGGAAAGACACACCACTGACGACAATACGATACGTGTTTCGCCTCTACACGAGGCATCCTCAGGTGATATAGACTCTACGGTGGCTAACCGTTAAGTGAGCGGCGAGCCAAAACAACTGCGATTTATACAGACCGCTGACGCAACCGCTCTCTACTTAAGGAGCGAGCGACTGCGTCATGCGATAAAACATGCGACCAATCACCGCCGGAGTTACGCAGCCGTTTGTAAAATTAAAAACAAACCGCCGCGCAACACCCGCCTACCCTCCAACCACGCAACCAATCGCCGATCACCGTGAGGGTGACAAACGACCATATTGCGAGGCTCTCTATTGTTAGGGAGCAGGCTTAAAGATATTTAAGAGAGGTGAGTTAGTAACATTTGCGACTATGACCACTCCTTTAAAGTCTTACATACGTGTAATAAAGGGCTGCGGCTATGTGTGATGGAACAGTTAAGAGATATTAAAAAGTATTAATAATAACGTTGTACTGCTGAAAGAACAAACAAATGTTACTAACTCACCTCTCTTAAATATCTTTAAGCCTGCTCCCTAATAATAGAGAGCCTCGCAATATGGTCGTTTGTCACCCTCACGGTGATCGGCGATTGGTTGCGTGGTTGGAGAGTAGGCGGGCGTTGCGCGTCGGTTTGTTTTTAATTTTACAAACGGCTGCGTAAGTCCGGCGGTGATTGGTCGCATGTTTTATCGCATGACGCAGTCGCTCGCTCCTTAGGTCGAGAGCGGTTGCGTCAGCGGTCTGTATAAATAGCAGTTGTTTTGGCTCGCCGCTCACTTAGCGGTTAGCCACCGTAGAGTATATATCACCTGAGGATGCCACGTGTAGAGGCGAAACAGTCGTATTGTCGTCAGTGGTGTGTCTTTCCTAGTGTGTTTTTGGGAGTAGTAGTGCTGAGATTAGTGGTGATAGAGATAGTGCACGCAATTGAGGGAGGGCGGGAGATGCTCTTCAAACTAGGTAAGACACATCATTTTATTTTATCGAGCGGATGTACGCAAAGTAATTTTTTGTCAAATTTAATATAATGGACTTCCGCAAACTAACGCCTGATTCTATTAATTATTTTATTAGGAACATAAAATAATGAATAAAATAAAATATGCTTATATAATAGACCACATATACTTTTGATGTACCTTATCAGTGAGTAAATAACTATACAATGCATGACTAAAGACTCTCTGATAATACAAATAATTTACAATCTGACGTATTGGCAATCATAATAGCAGATGTCTCATACCTTTGACTCTGTTTTCCTTTGTCTCTGGGCTATCTCATATATTCTAGAAGTGACCGTACTTCTAGAATATATGAGATAGTTTGCCATATTATTTTTACGAGAATTTATGAGATTTTATTTACTTTTCCCTTACAGTAAACATTTTGGGACGAAATGACAAACATTATTAATACATAATATTTTTTATTTAGAGGAGTACATAGAAGAAAGTAAAAAGTCTGTGTCGTCCCCCGATCTCCAACCGCAACTGATATGTGAAGAAGGGCTCATACAGATCGGTCAAGGAGAGCAGTTATTTATTCTGAGCTTTGTGATAGGTTCTGTGGAGAACTTGGATTTGGTAAATATAGCATTTGGTTTGTGTATTTATAATAATCAAAATCAAAATCGTTATTGGCCTCACATTAATTATAAATTATAAAAATGAATCGCTAAATGTGTTGCTAAGCGCAAATCTCGAGAGCAGCTGAACCGATTTCGCTAATTCTTTTTTTCTAATAATATTTCTTGAAGTACTACGAAGATGATTCTTATGAAAAGAAAAATTTGAAAAAATGCCTGAAAAAGTCTAAAAACAACACTTTTCTATATTCCCACACAAAAGATTCGTAATAATACTTAAAAGTCAATTTGAACTTTAATACCATACCATAAAGTTTAAGTGTTAGTGGTGGGGTTCCGGGAAGGCAAAACAATTCAGTGACATTAGTATCGTATAAATATTAATGTCAATATTTATACACACTGGCAGATAGCTGATGTTATAAGGAGCAACTTGGGCTGCTTTTATTTTAGGGTTCCGCGAAAAATAACTTCACGCGGGCGAAGTCGCGGGGAACAGCTAGTTATGAAATATACAAAAATGAGAATGACGGTAGTCCAATGTACGCTAGTTCTATTTTTGATGCCGACACCATTAACTGCAAGGATTTGTAGTTTTAAATGCTTGATTTATCACGTTTTCGGCGTTGAAAAAGAAAAAACTTCGGTTGTAGGACTGCACGTCAGAAGTAAAACTTCTTAGCTTCACAAACTTGTAAACATTATTTTTGGTTCTTAAGAAATATTTTTAGGAAGCATTTTTATTAGAATTTTTTTACCAACGTATTAATATAGTAATAACTTTTTCATTTATTGCGCTGTTTTACATATACATATATATACACACATCTGTATATATGTATCAGAGCGTGACGGTCACGCGAGTTCAGCGCTGGATCCCATCGCCAAAATGCCCAATGTGCCCAAAGAATTTTTCACTTCAATATCGTTATAATTTAACAAATATGTTATATTTTATAAGTACCAAAATCTACGTTTACGAAGTTGCCGTTACTCTGAAATATTAACACAAAAATACTTCTCCTTATTCCAGTTGCTGCCAAATGACATTAGCAAAGAATCTGTTGATTGTTGCGTCACGTATTCGATTTTCACGCACAACATAATGACTGATAGGTATGTTACATTTACTTTGCTAAGAGTGTGATGATGAAGGCCTATTGCCCGATTAGATACAGTGACAATTCCCAAATATTTAAAAAATTGTCAACGGAGTAAGACATATTATATTTTGTTTATAAAAATAAGGGTGTCAAACGAGCACACAGTCCACCTCCACCAGTACACCACCATTTAAGTAAATGCTGTGGCTGAAGAGCCTTATGTCGAATTTACACCAAATAAATATCAAAGGAGCTGTCGCTTAATGTAGAGATTCAACTGATATTCTGTTACTATCCAGTATCCATTTTTTTTTGTCCAGCTGGATTTAAACGTGGTAGAGCCGCGGGTCGGCTCGACCGGGAAAGAACCACGCTCTCAGAGAATACCAGCGTAAAATAGCAGCTTAATGCTGCTGTGTTACGTATGGTGAGTGAAGAGAACCGGAGACCCTTTTTACTGGAAAAGAGACATTCCATCTTTGTCCTCACGGCTGACTATGTACGCATCTGCATTTTGATTCGCAAACGAGGATAGATGTTGATGTCTATGGGTTCCAGCAACCACTTACGATCAGATGGACTGTGTGCTCGCTTGTCACTCTTATCCTATAAAAAAAATTGTATACTTGTGCATAATACGAATCCAAAGACAGAATTTTTATTATTTTATAAACGATACGACGTGTTTTAAATTACGGTCTGTTATAATTTTTTTTCTTTCTCTCATATAATATACTTCTTCTTAGGTTTATAACCTCATAATATATCGGAAGCTATGAGATCCTCTTGACATGTTCAATAGTAGACCCCGGAATGAAACTGGGTCATATATTCTCTTATTTTTCCTTACACTGCGTGTATTAACCGTAATTACTAGAACCGAGTTTTTTTGTATTATTAATTAATTTATAACTAAAATTCAGAGTGGGCGCAACATCGCTCAGCACGGGCAGCAGTGCATTATTTAACCAGCGCACATCGCTTCGGCTTAGGAGCGAGCTTTCTTCGCTTAACCGCTACTTTGCGGAGTGCCCACATCTAGTCGTGAGAGTTTGCGTCGCCGAAAGAGATGTCGGTATGTAACTGTTTATTTTGTACTTTATATAAAATACGAGTAGCTTTATATATAGCGTTACTATTCCAAACGCAGCAGTATTATGGATGCTATTTCACATTGACATTCTTTAAAGGTTTCATCTTATACATACTTTACCAATGCGATACAGTGATAGCGCATTGATTGTAAAGTGTTCCTAAACGTACTTTACACTTTATACGCTGTTACTTTATTTGACGCACTTTACAACTATTAAGTTTCGTACTATATGGTCACCTTTGGCTTTGCCGCTCTATAAACCAAAACTAGCAGGAGGACAGAGACAAAAACACAAAGTCGTATACCATAACTAATATATTAAGAAAAAAATAGCAAACAAGCTTTCGCAATAATTAGGAATACTTCAAAAAATTAACTACACTACACAATACTAAAATCGACTAAAATATTTACTATAAAGTCAACTGTCAAAATGGCGTCGATGAAGCAGCGCCCTTTTGTCCCTTTAATATTTGGTTGATTGTTGAATAGCTATCTGTTCATACAAACAAGGCTGTAGTTTTTGAGTTATAAGTGAACATATTAACCTGATGACCATATTACCCACACGTACTATACTCTATTAATATCTAAACGTATAAGTAGCGGCACGAAAGTCTAGCGGTGCAATTCAATTCGTGCGCGACAGTACCCATGCGCAGCTGTTCCCTCCACGTTTCGTTCGTGCCGCAACTTGTACTTTATACGCTGTCTCTTTGACGCACCTTACAACTAACACGCTATCACTTTATTAAAGGTACTTTATACGCTGACACTAAACTTTACATTGCAGGCGTGTGCAGCTTAGACCTACGTAAACTGGTGCCCACGGAAAGTCTGCAGCAGTTCATCAGCGAGTTCTGCAACAGCGACCACTCGCTCACGATACACGAGCGCTGCTACGTGTTGCGCTGCGAACAACGCGCTCAAACGAGTTCGGACACGCGCCGCCCCTACATGGACGTCGAGATCAGCCTAAAACATATCGGACAAAAGAACATTAAACAGGTATTATGCTTAGATGTTTAGAAGAACACATAGCTCTTTTTTTTTTTTTTTTTTTTTTTTATAGAATAGGGGGCAAACGAGCATGCGGCTCACCTGATGTTAAGTGACTACCGCCGCCCATGAACAACCGCAACACCAGGGGAATTGCAGATGCGTTGCCGGCCTTTTAGAAAGGTGTAAGCTCTTTTCTTGAAGGTTCCTAAGTCGTATCGGTTCGGAAAATTCGCTGGTGGTAATTGATTCCACAAAGAAGTTGTGCGAGGGAGAAAACTTCTTCTAAATCGCACAGTGGTGGACCGCCAATCATCCAGATGGTATGGATGGTAACGCGAGTTTTGTCGCGACGTGCGATGGTGAAATTGAGCGGCTGGAATTAGTCCGAACAATTCCTCAGAGCACTCCCCGTGATAGATGCGATAAAATACGCAAAGAGATGCAACATCTCTACGCAGTGCCAGTGTATCGAGCCGATCGGAAAGAACTCGGTCGTCGACGATTCGAATCGCTCTGCGCTGGATGCGGTCAAGTGGAAGGAGCTGGCACTGGGGTGCCCCGGCCCAGAGATGAGAACAGTATTCCATGTGGGGCCGAACTTGCGCTTTGTAAAGTTGCAAGCGATGTGCCGGCATGAAATACTGTCTCGCTCTGCTGAGCACGCCAAGCTTTTTAGAGGCCAATTTGGCCTTCCCTTCCAAGTGACCACGAAACTGCACGCTATTCGATATGTCGACGCCAAGGATTCCGATACTGGCTGAGGCAGCAAGGGGAGTGCCTTGAAACTGAGGAGATACGACAAAGGGGTTCTTTTTAGCGGTAAACGCGCAAACTTGTGTCTTCTGGGGATTGAACTGGACTAGATTTAGTCGGCCCCAATCCGAGACTTTGTTAAGCAAAGACTCGACTTCAGACACAAGTTTGTCCCGGTACTCGGCGACGTTTTCCCGAGAAATATTGGCACGGCCGGTATATAAGGCATCCCCAGTGCTGTCGTCTGCATAGCAATGAATGCTACCAGTTAGCAGCATATCATTGATATGCAGGAGAAACAGCGTTGGTGATAGCACGCAGCCTTGTGGAACACCAGCGTTGATAGGCTTGTAATCAGAGCATGCACCGTCTACTACGACCTTGATGCTCCGATCAGCAAGGAAACTGGTGATCCATTTGCACAATTTCTCGGGAAGCCCATAGGAAGGAAGCTTCGAAAGAAGCGCCTTGTGCCAGACCCGATCGAAGGCCTTCGCTATGTCCAAACTAACGGCCAATGCCTCCCCCTTGGACTCTACTGCCTCCGCCCATCTATGAGTTAAGTAAACTAAAAGATCACCTGCTGATCGACCCCGACGAAAACCGTACTGACGGTCACTGATCAGCTGGTGATCCTCAAGGTACCTCATGAGCTGGCAGTTTATAATGGATTCCATTATTTTGGAGAACAAGGAGGTGATGGCGATAGGCCTGTAGTTGGACGGGTCTGAGCGGTCGCCTTTTTTAGGGATCGGGTGGACCAAAGCTGTCTTCCATGAATTCGGGACTACGCCTTGGGAGTAGGAGTACCGGAAAAGACGCGTTAAAACCGGTGCCAACTCCGGAGCACACGTCTTCAGCACAATGGGAGGGACTCCATCGGGCCCACTCGACTTGCTGACGTCCAGGGAGAAGAGTGCTTTGCGAACCGAGCGCTGTGTAAATCGCACATCCGGCATGGAGCACTCACATCGCGGGATGGTTGGCGGTGTGTTCCCCCCGTCATCTAGAGTCGAGTTGGACGCAAAAAGAGAGCACAACAGATCGGCTTTCTCTTTTGCGGCATGGGCCAGTGAGTCGTCCTCTCTGTGCAGAGATGGGAGGGATGGCTGACAGAAGTTCCCTTGGACAGCCTTGGCGAGAGACCAGAATGCACGGGTTCCCGAAGGAAGGCGAACTAGCTTCTCGCCAATTCTGCCGATGTGCTCAGACCTTGCCTTGGCAATGACGCTTTTGAAGGACCTGGAGGCGGAATTATACTTCTTTTTAAGTGCGCTGGTGTTTAAATCCCGAGACGTTGATGCGTCAGCCCAGGCCCGGTAGCACTCCTGCTTATAGCGTGATGCTATTTTACAGGAGCGACCAAACCATGGCTGGGATCTGCCTCCGATGGGCACCACAGAGGATGGAATAAAAAGTTCCATACCCTGAAGTACCACATCAGCAACAGAATCGGCAACAACGCTGGGATCTTCCGGCGAGAAGCAAACCCGCCCCCAAGGGTAGGATGCAAAAAAAGACCGCATCCCGTCCCAATCAGCTGACCTATAGTGCCAAACACGGCGGCAAGCTGTAGATCGCAACTGCGATTGGAACGTGAGTGGCACTGTGCTCCGGATCAGACAATGGTCCGAAGAGCCCAGAGGGGCATCGACGGAGACCTGATATCCGTCCGGATGAGAGGTCAGCAGAAGGTCCAACAGGGAAGGTACATGGTCTTCCACATCTGGGATCCGCGTAGGCGAAGTAACCAGTTGTGTTAGACCATATGCCAAAGCAAAGTCGTAGACAGATCTACCCGCATGATCGGTTGAACGAGAACCAAGCCATTCAGCGTGGTGGGCGTTGAAATCACCGAGTATCACGATCTCTGCGGATGGGACCTGTTGTAGCACGGAGTCTGCAGCCATTTGGACGTGGTCGATGAGTCGGTCTGTGTCGGCATTACCGCTATGGGACCTATAGAGGCACCCGTAGACGCGGGGATGGTCGTCGCTGTCTACGCGCAGCCATAGGATGGACAGGTCCGTACCTTCAAGGCTGCCGAGGCGTCGAAAACAGATGTCCTCTCTGACGTATACACAAACTCCAGCCCGGGGCACAAAGGAGTGTTCCAATTTGTACCCCGGGTAGGAGAGATATGAAGTATCAGCCGGAGAGGACACCTGAGTCTCGGTTAAAAAGAGCAAGGCCGGCTTCGCCGTCTCTAGATGGTAATGGACAGCGTTAAGGTTGGAATGAAGTCCCCTGATGTTGCAAAAATTCACGGATAGCGTGACAGGGGTCGCCTTGGTTGTATTGCTTCGCTTGCCCCGAGCAGCATTAGTCACGAGCGGAATTTTGCCCCCCCCAGAATACGCGGGGCAGCCTGAGCACCCACGCTCAGGAGTGAAGTAGTTTGTTCGTGGATGCTCAGCGAGGGATTCTCCAGGGTTGCTGGTACCCTCCTGGGGTAGTCTTGTATTTAATTTTTTTAATTTTTTAATTCCACTACCATGTTGATGGGGGGGGGGGGGGGGAATTGGGCCTCCGGCCACCTGCACTCACCAAACGCAACGCAGAGGTAAACCTCTACTTCACGCTGGTATTCTGTGAGGTCGTGGTACCACCCCGGTTCGAGCTGGCCCATCCGTGCGACAGCAAAAGCTACCGCTTGGCTCTACCACTGTTAAAACTTTTACTCTTTTACTCACCTGATGGTACTACTATCGCCGTCCATGCGTTGCCGGTATTTTAAAAAGGAGTAGGCTCGTAGAAAAATTTGTGTTTTAATGGTTTCTGGTTGACAAAGAAGCAACAAAAGAAATTTCGGCGTTATCATCTATTTTTATTATACGAGGGTGTCACTGAAAGTTTTTAGAAAATCAAAAACTGAACAAACTAGCAAGTTATTAGTTTTATTATATCTTTTCTGGGAAACCACTGGGAAAAGCACTTTGCCCACTCGTCCTTAGGGGTCTCTTCGGCGGCATCGCAAGGTGCTATAGGGCGGGTGACCCAGTAATTCCACGTCTGACGTCGCCAAGTAGTCGATTGTTTGCTTCGCGGTGTGCGACGAGGCGTTGTCGTGGTGAAGGAGAATCCTACTGCGAGGTTGTTTCTCCCGAACTTTTCCAAGACAAGTGACAAACAAACCACTCTGCAGTAACTGTTTTTCGAATCTAAAACAATTGTTGCGTAACGACCTGTCCTTCCGTAGAACGAGGCCACCATCTTTTTTCCCACTTTTTGACGAGGTCTTCACTTTAGTTCGCAACTCCTCGGAAGGAAACACCTAAACAGCTGACTGACTCTTAGTTTCAGGATCATATCAATAAATCTAGCTTTCTACACCCGTAAGTATGTCGACACAGCATTTGAGTCACCTCCGTTAAATACTTGATACAATTCGCGACACCAATCAACACGACGGAGTTTTTCGGTCTCTGTCAAATTATGAGGTATCCACCGGGCACAAAGCGTCCTAACCGCTCAATGTTCATGGAAGATTTTGTGCACTTTACTCATACTGATGCCTAAGCTTGTCCGAATCTGCTGATAAGTCATTCTTTTTTCAGTTTATCGTACGCCGCACAACACTAATTGTTTATGCCCAAAATGGGCATTTTGAGACGGCACCCAAACACCTTCGACTTTGTCGAATCACCCGATGGTGTCGAGGTGAGGTAATGCCGACGGCGGGGAGAGGCGGCCGCGTGCCGCGGGCAGTCGCTCAACGCGCTGGATGATGTAGTAGCTCGCTGGCAGCGGTACAGTTAATTAGCATGCCTCGGTTGCCGCTGCCGAAATTTCGCGCGACCGATTTTGGGGTTACGGTCTAGATTTTTAGATTTAGTGCATGTTGCTTCGCTACGTAATTGGGGTTTTGTGAAAACCGCCTCGGTTTAACGTTGTCTAGGTTTTAAGTTCTTGACAAGAGGCTTGTATTGTGTTTGACTGATTAAAGTAACTTCTTTGAAAGTAATTGTGCAAATTATATAAGGATTGCGTGTAGAAGTGCATTTTGCAATATTTAACTTGCTCGGGTGACGTGGAATTTCGCACGCGCGCGCCGAGTAGATATACTATATACTATAGAATAGGTATAGGTCTCGCATTCGAACCGCGCATTCCTTTTTTCGAGGGCGTTCCCCGGTTGATTGTTCTGGAAATCATTGTTTAATTATACCGTCGCGTTAAGAGCCTTTTGTGTGTTGACTCTGTAGTTAGTTTGCGTGTCAGCTAGGTTGATTTTGAATTCTTATTGCGGCGTG